TATAGGAGTTAATCCCTTTAAGTAAATAAATGTAGTTTGGGGTCGTAGATGTTGGTATTTGTGTATTGAATAATTTGTACATACACTGGTTAATAATTTAAACAATGTTTTTTCTGATGTACCTAATAATTATTTAAGGTTATCTTGTAGTTGACGAGTCTAGAAATCCGCATATTCACACCATTCCGCACTGAAGTCTAGAATTTGACACAAATTTGAAGTTAAAAATAATGATCCTATTACTTGAAAATCTACATTTTTTTATTTTTAATCGATGTAAAAATTGGTAAATACATGATAAAAAGTAAAAGTTATTTCAATATGCTTATTTCCTGGTTCCAAATAATTAAATATAACCTTGCAACTATATGTTACGATTCCAACTATCAGAACTAGCCGGAACAAGAATGGTGCATTTCCACACCCTTCAATTATAAGATTACCATTATTTAATGTGCAGTGCAAATATAAAAAAAACTACCTAAAAAATGCTGTTCCTTCTTTTATTACTTATGATGGGACTACTTCTCAAAGGAGACGAGAATGTGGAAAGTATTGCTGATACAGTTACCGAAGTTATCCACTGGAGGTGAAGTGTTAATCTTTTAGGAATATAGGAAATATTTTTTTATACCTAACAACTTAATATTTATTTATTGATAAGTTATAGATACTATGTATTTGAAATTCAGAGTAATCATTATGACAGCAGCATTCTTATTGTATTCGGATTCTAACACAAATAAAACATCTCATTAAATTTTTGTTAAAATTATTAATTTTACACTAGAAAGAAAATTAACAATACACACAAAATTATTTAAAATTAGAAATAAATACAATTTACACATTTTCCATTATTACACTTATATTTTCTTAATTTATTCATTTCTTATATTAACAATTTCAATTAATAATATAGTTCATTATTTAATTGGAACTCATTTTATAATTTTACTAATTATTTTTTTATATGTATTTGTGGAAAATGAAATATTAAATAAAAGCATAGGAATTGTTCTATTGGATAATAGCAGTAATGAAAAAATAAGTAGGAAAATTTCAAATGTATAGTTTCCAGATTTATTATAAGTTTTTTATATTAATGTAGGTTTATTATGTTCGCTTGTACACGTCACAGTTAGCAGCAGACAGTAACAAACCTGACAACACTTCTGATTTCAGAAAAACATTACAACAATTTGTTTTATATTATATATTTCAATAATATAATAATCATTTATATTTAATTAATGACAAGGTTTACTTTTTAAATAAAACTATATGAGCCCTGTCCCGTTTCAATTAGCCCTTTAACCCTTTCACTTCCACTTTCATTAAAAAAAATACCATTGTAGTAGATTGTATGTTTTCTTTGTTTATTTTAAGTAAATTAAAATATTTTCATAGTATTTTTTATTACTCCAAGACATAACGTCCCTGTTCAGGGACATTACAAAAACAAAAATTTACTATGAAAATAATTTTTTTATAATATTAATTCTTAAAAGTAATGCAAATAAAGTAAATAAACCAAAAAGAAAAAAATTCTACCAAAATTAACAGATGTATACTTCAGGGTTAATTAAGACAGTGTCCCTCTGGAGAGACAAATACACTGAAAGGGTTAAATATTTACAAATTTTCATGAGTGTTTCATCACCTTTAACTTTGATAACGGCAATAATTCATTAAACCATTGTATTTACAAGTTCTTGAAAATCTTGTGCAGGGAACCTACTCCATATTTTTAGATTACCCATTTGAATTAATTCTGGCAGTGATCTTGTGGGTGCTGCACGCCTCTGCTTAAAAATTATCACCCCATATACAAAAAAAGCATCTTTATTAAATGAACAAGAAACTAAAAAAAAAAAATAAGCATTATTAAAAACTACAAAAAGTGCATCATTTGAAAATCCATATTCAAGCTCCAGATTTGTAAAATTAAAAAAATTCCAAATACACATTTAACTTGTTCGATTATTTATTGAATAAAAGGTCTGTTCCAACGATCAGAAACAAACCACTGGGTAGTACACAATTTTGCAGTCTCAATAAACTACTGTGCAGAATCCTGATGTCAGTAACTCATTTCTGAGCATTGTTGGAACAAACCTAAAGTAAATCAAAACCACTTAAAACCAAGCACAACATTTATACTCGAGCAAATTTTTAATTCCTATCAAAATTTTTAATTACTGAATATTTTGTTCTAGTTATATTAAAATTTAAAAGTTCTTACTCTTCATTATAATTATATTTTTTATTTTCCCTATATACCTACATACTATCTCTAACATTTTACAAATTTGATGCCTAATTAAAGATTTCATCTAGCATTGCAGAACGTAAAACGTTTTTCACATTTGTATAAATCTTCTACATCTGTCATATTAGGATAACAAGATTGTATCTAGACAGGTAGTTATTTTTTGGAGTTGAAGTTTGTGTAGCCATTAACTTGTTTGATTTTCATTGTGTTTTTAACTCTAATTTAAGAGAAAATCTTAAGTGATAAAAAATGCAGAAAGAACTAAGCGACCTACATTTTTTAGAATATTTGATAAAGCATAGTAGTAACTGCCAGTTAAAACTGTGTTTCTAGTATTTAGTTTAGGTAACAGAGACAAGGCTTGGAACAGAAAATACATACTTTTGTTAATTCAGAATTTTTAAATGTTTTATATTATAAATCTTTCTAGGTATCCTCTATCATTTTCTTTATAATTTTCAATCAAAACTGTTTAAAAACAAAAAGTTTAATAAAAAAATACCCATTATATTTAATACGGTTTATGCTCTAAAACTCACTGTTCTTTTAATGGCAGATTTTTTAACCTCTGAGTAAAGTTACGCATAAGTATAATCTATAGCCTAATCAGCAAGTAGTTACTTTCAACTTTATTCAGAGGTAAAAACCTGGCCTTTAATCTTAATATAATTGTGGAGGATGGAGACTAAATTTGCTAGGGATTAGGGAATAACAAAGATCTAACTACTATAATGACACTTGCTAAAAACTGTATAAGTTCTATGTACATGCAGATAGAACCATGTGAATAACTTTAGTACTTTGATAACACAACATTGATAATTAACAGATGAACATATTGGTCACAAAAACAAATTAATTAATATATTCTACCAATCTCATTTTTTCCAAAAAGTACAGTTACAACCTTGTTATTCTTTGAGATGTATTTATTACTGATACTTATTAATAAAAATAATAATAATAATTGATATAGGTACTTACTGATCTTTGGAAACATATATACTCCAGTCCAGTGAGACTTCATTATTCTGTTATAATGCTATTTCACAGAAATGTTTGTAATTCCAATCACTATGTATGGATTTGATTATAGTAGGTATAAAACTAAATGTTTATTGAATATCTTTAATCTGGGCAATGAAAATCACAAAACTCACTTTAAAAATAATAAGCTTCAATCTGAGTACCATAGTTAAGGTCCACTTCTTCATTTTATAATCAGTAACCCACTGTATTGCTGTTTTTGCCAAAACCAAAGGTAATATTTGAACACAAAACAAAATCAGCTGTTTTTTATAAACACCCCCATTTCACTTATTTAGTAGCAAGTCTCTGGCAGCAACTTGTAACTTAATTGGAGCATATTTATTAAATCTTGAACACTTTTTTTGATCGTATAAACGCACACATCAGTGTAGCTTGTTTAAAAAAAACACTTATAAGCAACCATCAATAACAATAAACTTATTTGTTGACCATTAATTTTTTCATCTGTACTTCTTCTGATAGTTTTGTCATTTTTCATTTCATATAAAGTCGAATTTTCACCATAGAAGAACTATTTTTATGATTGCACTTTTTCTGACAGATAAAAAGATTGCCGCAATTTTCCGCCGTAACGACACTAACGAACCTAGCGGATTTTTGCCCTAAGTACGACCGGTTTTGGTATGTTTTTTTCAGGGAGTTGAAACACCTTTATAGTGCGCCGTGGTCAAGATTATGTAACTCTTCTCTTCATCAGTCTTAATTGATAAATTTATTTTTGGCCTTTACCTAAGGTGGCCGAATAGTTAGTACACTGACTCGTTTGTCAAAAGTTACGACCCACTCACATGAGCTAGCTAACTAAAGGTAATTTTAAAATTGAGATAAGTATCCCCTTGGGTAATTTAACTGTAACCCCTTTTGCTCACATAGCACCTGCTACGGATAGCATCGTTAGAGTTTGATTATTTGATAGTAGATATTTTTAAAATATTCAGTTATCATTTTATAATTACAGTCTTCTTAATATACATTTTTAATAATTTTTAATACCTATACTTTTTGTGAGATTGTGATCCACACTTAATTACTAGAATATATATTTGGTTAAATCCACAAGCAATACATATTGGTAATAAATTAATAAAAAAAAATAGTTTATGTTTTCGTCAATAATAATTCTATTATCAACTTTAAAAGAGTAATTATTTTTATATACCTATATATTTTTATCTTTTATGCAAATCTATCGTACCAACGTTAATGTAAATTGCTTTCGCCTGTCCATTTGTGCCAAATTTTAATTTTTTAATGGAACTACAGTCGGAAGGTCGTTCTTACGTCAGCAGACGTGTTTAATGGATTTCGTTAATTGACCTAGAGGAAGCGCAGAATGTTGCCCCTAGAGACAGTGACGGCTTCGTGCGTACTTTTTCATTTGAAATTTATGTACAACAATTAATATTTTTATAGGAAAATGAAACTTGAAATACCTAGATCTATTTTATTTTAATAATTTCTCTTTTGATTATTGTCAGTTCTAAACAGTGGTGTTGTGGACTGCATACCACCTAATACTGTAACCAGAATTTTGGAGGTAGTCGACTAAAAAACGCAACTGAATCCAGAGTTTTTTTGGCTATATGACTATAATTTTTATTTTTCTTTTATTTATTTTTATTTTTTATTTTTATTTATCTTTATTATTTATTTTTTATTTCACCATTAATTCCAGGAAGCAGCGTTACGCTACACAGACACAAGCTGGCACTTATTCAACCAAAGCCGTAAACAATCCTCAAAATCAGAAAAATTCATATCGTACGAAAAAGCCAACAATCTCGATGAAACAGCACCTTTGCTACCCAACGGTACCCTACCAACGACAACCGATCCGCCAACGAAAGACCAACCGGATACCGCGAAAGATAACGTTACTAGCGCTGAAGACGCAGATTCTTCAGCCAGTAGTATCGTGTACGAAAAAATCGATAAGCTTCAAAGACCTGACACCGACCCCAAACAGACTGTCAAAATCGAAACGGTGGAAGTGGCATACGAACCTGTCAAATGTCATGCCGAAATTGTGTTGGTAAGAAAACTGTCAGTTGTCAAGCAATGCTTCTTACTAACTATTTAATAACGAGCTTAATCTAGAATAGAAGTATACTAATTACTACAAAATACTAAACCATATTTTTAATCATTTTTATACAAAGCTGATATAAACTGGCAATTTCTGAATATTAATCTTTTACTACTCTCGGATTTGAAACTAAATTAGTTTCATTATTCTGTCGCGCCCCGTATAATCAAACTTCTATCGATAATATAGCTAAATTTATGATGATTGAAGCCTTGGAAAGTGGGTTAGCAAGTTCCATGGAAATCTAATACCATAATATCATTTAAAAGCTATTTTAGGATGTAAAAATTACAATAAATAGTTTCAATCATGCGATATTTTTGCAATTTTCTTGAAAATTCGCCAGTAACACCTTGGGGGAGAATTTGGCTAAAAACAAAAACCGTTATTTTAATTTCTAATGATGAAAGTAAAAGAAGGAGTGAATTGACGAATACAAAAATAAATACAGTCCTTATAAGCCTTAAAATATAAACATACATTATTCCAAAGTACAATAAATTATTATATAATATTTTCTGGTACATGTATTTGCATATTGTAACTTAATTTTCAATTTTAATAAAATTCTTTTCAATATTGCCAAAATATTCATGTTTTTTTTGTCAAACCTGCTAGTATTTGAGGTTTTCGACCATGCAGAAAATTTTCTATTCTAACTTAAGCATACACACTATAAAAACAACAAAGTTGTAACAACATTAATATTTCAAAGGCACTATTCGAATTTTACGTATATTTTAGTCAAATTTTGAACACTGGCAGCAGTGGTATACAGGGTGGACCGGAGGTCCTGTTTGCTGGTTGTACTTAATCATGTTTGATAAAAAATTGTAACCCATTTTGTAATTAAATAATTCTTGTATTATGTTTCAAATAATATCTAAAATTTCACATTTTAAGCATTTTTTGTTTTTTAATTATTATTTAATTAGCTATCTTGTTTTAATCAAGTAAGAAACGGTATCATCAGAAGCTACACAGCTGATGATATTTTCATAGACGAAACGTAGTAAAATGGTAAAGTGTAACATATCGTTGTATTTATAAAAAATTACAGTTAAAAATCCAGGTCTGTATTTAAAAAAATAATCTTATTTACAAAAATGTGCCATCAGAACTTGTAACACCCTGTATCTTGAAAACGAAACGTTTTCGGACCTATGTTTATATGAACTTTTATTCCTATTTTAGGATGTAGATTACGCTATTAAAATATGACCGTCCAATTTCGGGACACCCTGTATACTTTATAGCTAATTTTTTATTATTATTATTAAAAAATATATATTTGAAACTCTTGACCTATTCTAATATGATATTGCAGAAATTATACATGTCTTCAACATTTCTACCTTATTATTAATCAGAATAATCATTTGTATTCATAAGGAAAATACATATTTTCGATTGTTCTCGGATAAGAGAACTAAATTAGTCAATTGTAGAATATCACAGCCACGGCAATTACCTAGAACATTGATATATGGACATACATAAGCCCAAAGGTATTCAAGAATTTCGAATCATCCATCAAATTGACACGCCGTTAGGGTGGAAACCCTATTTAATTCGAAAAAAGAAAACACGCCGGACTTTTCCTATTCGGTTTAGCGATTTAGTGGCAGCGCAAAAGTTTTTAAATTAGGGTTGCCAGTAATATTTTTGTTCTTTTCTTCGTGTTCTTCGCTTCTTCAGGTAAGAACAGATAGTTCGTGTGAAATCTCTAATCATCTTATTTCACAAAAATGTTTATGTTCAATTACAAATATGAAAAATTTCGACCCCTTATAGTTCGTTATAATTTCAAAATTTTAAACTTGTTTACATTGGAGAGCCCGCTATCAAAAGCATTTCTGATGTATTAAAAGCTCCTGCCTTCTTTCGGTTCTTTTTAGTCCTTTTATTATCCTAATCCTTAAAAACTGTTCTAAATACCTTGTTTGGTTTTAATAAAACAAATTTTTTTCTTTTATTTTTCAAATAACTTCGGGAAAATCATTATTTCCGGTTGGGCCACCACTGATTTCGTCCGTTCGGTGATAATAACTTCATTTCCTTCAAAATGCGAGGAACATTGTTATCCTTATGGTTGCGGTCTTACGTGGATCGACTGAGTGACCAGTCAATGTTCGGGCGGTGATTTACGTTTATTCGTCTTTTTATTGGAAAAATCACGCGATGTAGGAAATTTATCGATACTCTTTTGTGCTGACCACACTGAAATAATCATTTCAGAAGTAGATAATGAAATATTCAGAGAATTTTCTTTATTTTGAAATGTACATTTTCCTCAAAAAAACTGAATATTGCGTTTTCTTTTAGAGCTTAATATTGTAAATGTTCAGTTATTATTAAGAAAAATAATTATGTAACTAAAAATCCTTGAAAAACGTAACATTTGCTTTGATATATATAGAACCACAAAAGCTTTTCACTATGGGCTAATTTTAATTGTTTTATTTTCTTAAATAACTTCCAAAGGAATCAAAATTCTAACAATAATATACAAATAAGTCTGAAAGGAAGGGAGGGTCCTAATAGGCTGAAAAACTGGCATCTTAGTACCAATCTTCAAAAAGGGGGACAAAGAAGAATAACTTTGTTGAGTATCCCATCCTAATTATATGAGCAAATCCTCGAAAACAATCAGATGAGCTCCTAGAGCAGTCACATAGTGGTTTTAGAAAGAGGCGTAGTATAAATGACCATCTTCACACTTAACGCAAACCAGAGAAAAATTCCTGGAAACAAATATCCAAACCTATCAAGCTTGCATAGACCTAGAGGAAGTCAACATTAAAAAAGAGGAACGTACAGAACAAAGTTCTCTTATACTTGTGTGTAGTTTGGTGAAATTTTTCTCAGACTGAAGAAATACAACAGGTCTGAAATCTTATTTGGGTCACTAACTAGTGATTTTATACTAAATTTCTAAATTCATGCGACAAAATTCAGGAAGTGATTGCTCGTATGAAATTAAGATGGGTCTTTCCTATAACAAAATTTCCTCAGCCCACCCCTTTCCTCTGAGATATCACCCTTAAAAGGTGGTGACTAAAATTGAGTTATTTTTTTTCTAAAATTTCAGCTTGAAATTCTGTAATCGCAAAGGACTAACCACGGGTATTTTTTCAATATTCCTGTTACATGATAGGGGGGGGGGTGAAATTAGCAACCCTTACTTTATTTCATATTAAAACTTTTTTTCGAGATGAAGTTTTATGAAAAGGTTGAAATGTGTTCTACAATTCTTCGACAATTTCTCGGCAATTTCCCGGAAATTTTACAGTAAACCCCTGTCAATTCTATTAAAACTGTAAATACATTGTAATTCCCCATATTTTCCTTTAAACCTGTAAATTCCTTGCAAGTCGTTACCCTTCTACAGTTTCAATTACAGTAATAAACAATAACAACAAACCAATATAGCAAAAGGGTCGATTTATATTGCCACGAAAATAATTTGGTGCAAAATCGTGACGTATAACCGTATTTCAATGTTTAAATAAACTTCGTGTTGTAGTTTTGTCCATATTCGAATAGTAGCGTTTTTTTGACATTTTTCTCACGAGCGTACTTACTTCGCTTGGGCGGCTCGCTTCTTCAAATAATAAGAAAATCAGACAGACACGATGATCATGCTGCGTCGTGAATGAACAAACGTTCTTGTAGATCCATTATCAACTACTGGCGGCTTCTTTTGTTCTATTAATACAAGACTGGGATACCATCGGTATAAATAATAAGTTTGCCTTCGATATACCTGTTGTTTACATCTTTTATTTTTAATTTTTAATAAGGGATCTTCTCCAGTAATGATGCTTCTTTTACTCCAAATAAAGTTGCATATTATTAAAAGAAGATAGTAAAATTAGCAATTACGGGTTACCTCAAGAGACTGAATTGAGACCTATTTGGTTTAAAATGTATATAAATGAACGAGCAAAGATGGTCAACTTTATAGTTTCGGAGATTACAATGCTGTTTTATATAGTGATGATAAGTGGGGTAGGGTAAATTGAAAAATAATGTAATAATCCATCTAAGTGTCCAGTTGGAACAAGTATACGATGCTTCGTATTATTTTTTTCGGAAATAATTTTATAAATATTAAAAAATTCAACTTTATATATATGATAGGTGATGGCGGCTGGTGGTAATTTAAAATGGGTGTTCACTTTTTCCAATAATTTTATCATTTGTAAGTTCGGATCAAAACTTTGTACAAGAGTCAATATCGCTGTTTTTTTATAATTTGAGTTTGTATTAAGTGTAGTTATTATTATTATAAGTGTCTAAATAGACATTACGAACATATTGTTAAAATTAAAGAAAAAATAATAAATACCAAGATATAATCCTAGGTCTGACAGCGGCACTAGAAAGAGCCCTCTGTTAGGCTACACACTGCACACCAAAGCTCATCATGTTACAGGACTGCTTGGGGGGTACGGGACCATCGTAAGAACGTTTGAAATAAAAAGGAAATCTCTGCTTCGCAGGGTAAATAAAACGGACCAGCATATTGGCGAGACAAAATTCCATTCTGTAGCTTTCTGAGAATAACCACCCACGGTTGATGTGGCTCTCTTATTCATCCACGGGATGAACCCTATATATTAAAATATGAGTGTTTTGCCAGACAAAGGAAATGACTTACCTCTTATGAGGGTTTTCTCTGCTACCGGGATCCAGCAACACGTGGATGAAAGTATCTCTCGGCGTCTCACTTGCCTCAGATTTTGATCAAAAACCAGGTTCATCCAAAATAAAAGTAACATAAACATTGGCACGGGGGCCCTTGGACAAAACAAAAAGCTCGGAAACTAATTATTACTCAACACTATTTAACACAATGCGGAGCTAAAACCCAACGGCCATCTTCTTCCAAGAATCAAATCGGAAAGGGCCGAAAAAAACAAGTTTTTTTTTTTTAAAGTGAC